CAGTCCCCGAACACCGTAACTGTGGAGCTTTCGAAGCAGTATACAGTGGTTCACTCTATCAAAAGCTTTGTAGAAATCAAATTAACCTACATTTACTGCCTCTCCTGCGTCAACTGCTCATGTCTTGTCAGTAACAGATTTGTTATGCACGACTGTTCTCGTTAAATCTCGTGTTGACTTCGTGACACATTGGTGTACTTCTCGAAATACTCCATCAGAGAATCAGCAATAACTTATCACAGAGCAGGATGCACTATATACCCGGATGGTATTTTGCGGGATCATTTCGGCAGTCACCTTTGTAAATCGGTTTCTGACCGAGTGCACCACCATATGTGTACTGCTGCGAAAGTTCCACGGTTGCGGTGTTCGAGGACTGCTTCTTGACTCGATTGAGGAACTTCTTCGACAACGTATCGTATCCGTTGGATTTCATGGCTCTTTTCCTAGCATTCCTAAACGATCTACCAAATATCCTTGGGGCACATGCACTATTATTCACCAACGATACCAAAACACGGACAGTACAAAATCCTGGTGGTTATAAAATAATACAGGAAACATTCGATGCAGCTTACTGATGGTGTATCACTAATGGCATCGAATTCCACGGTTAGAAATGTAAAGTTATATCAATGCGTCGCAGGGGTTGCTTCTCATATGCACTTGGAAATCAGTCATTACCGCATGCTCCAAACGAGAAAGATCTGGGAGTTAGTGTTTGGATGGGTCTAGGATGTTCCACGCATTGGGTCAGGGCGTCATCAGTGACCCCCAAATAAGTTGACTCACACACGTGTTTTCGAAATAAACCTATTATCCCGTTTTCAATCAGCATAAATGCATACAGTGTTTACTGTCTAAGTGTGGAATCCATGACTAATTCGTAAACAAAAAGCACGTCCGCAGAGAACATCAACCCAAATGGTCAACAGGTTAAACTGCTCAATCCATGTTGAATGGCTGCAAATCCTCGGACTGTATTCATCTGAATACCACTGAATTCGGGGAGACATGATCTTCGCATACCAAATACTACATCAACCAAACCACATTTGTAGCCCTCCAATAACACTATTTAGGAGTGATCATCTCAGAGGACATCCTTCTAAACTGTCGTTCCAAAAGAGTTGACTGGACTGCAAACGTCGCTGTTTCATCCTCGGAGTATCTAATACTTGGAACAATCTTTCACCTCAAGTTGTCTGTGCCCAACTATCGACTCCATCAAGTCGCGGCTCGATGAAGTGTCAAATTATCTATCTGTCCATCACCCGTGAGTGAACGTAATAAGTTGTCATTGTTTCATTGTCCTACCATCCGGACATGTCCTCTGGGATTTAGTAAGCATCTGCTTTGTAAAGTAACCATTATATAAATCTGAAATTTTACTGAAAGCGCTAAACCACCTCGTGTCTGAGGTGTCCATGCTTAGAATTTAAACATCTTAAGTGTTTTTCGCGGCGGATTTGGCTCAGCGAAAAAAACCCCATCCTTTAATTGCGTCACGTGAGCCGTGTCTTTTCTGCCCCGAGTGGAATCTTCGGTACCCTCCCTGCTACTGGTTGGGCTCATGAAATGCGGCCGTGTCTGGAACGTCTTCGCCGTGCCCTCCTTTCAACTGACTTGCACAAAAGATATTATTCACTGCGCCGTTATGGTTAGGCCAGTTAAACTAAATCTACCATTGCGAACAAAGCGTGTTTATCAACTCGACAATCCCGAAAGGATGCTAACGAGCTCTGCGTCCTGTGTTTGTAGTGCTATGTCTTCTAAAACAACTGTGACATCATCCTTCGCCTTCGCGACCTGCTCTTCTGTTGACCACTCGGCATTGTAATTTTTCATGCTTTCATTAGTTTTTGATGCATTTGGCGTTTCATTTTCAAAATTTCACTTTGACGTTTGTTTGGCGTCCCATTCGTTTGCTGGCCCGCAGTTCGTCTACCACCCTTATGTTAAAAAAATTTTTATGCGGACTTCTCACTCTCAAGTGAAACTTTCTTTCTCTCTCTCTATTGGACTTCCAATATCACTTATGCGAGCCTCTCATGCGACTCCCGTCAACTTTTCTCACCTGTCCATGTCGGTCTTTGGTCCCACGTCGAAAGTCCGTTTCCTTCCATCTACACTGTAAATATTCCACTCACGAACCGGCTTTCGCTTATGCCCTCCGTATGTGTTCACTTTCGTACTGCACATTGATGGGAGAGGAGAGGAGAGTGACGTGGTTGTGATTGTTGGTCGTTTGTGTGACCCAATATGTTTTGCTTTCTCACGGTTAAGCATTGCGGTTTGTGAGCCTAACAACGCACACACACACACACACACACTGTCCTTCTCTTCCCCCCTCGTCTCCCTCGGCATTGATGGGTGACCACAGATCTCTGTGCTTCTCGGTTTTGGTTGGTTTGGTTTTTGGTGTGGTGAACCGGCCAGTTTGTTTTGCGGATATACGCACAATTAATGCAGGTGCAGCCTGTCCTCTTCTCCAACAACAACAGTATGAACGTTTAAGGTGCGCCTGTACGTGTCTGCCTCATCTGCTTTTGGACCGTAATCTATTCAGTGTTGTGTTGCTCATGCATGTGATTCTGTTTGTTGTGGTATCCTCTCTCTCTAACGCTTCATAACAAAAGGTCAGGTGGTATCATGAACAAAAGAAACTATGCCGACAGAGCGTGTTCGTGATGCGGACGGGGTGGGAAATGATTCCCATACGAATCCAGTTTCTCATTGCTTTCGTTCGGTGCTCGGGTTACTTGATTGTGTATATTTGTCCTTCTATGGGGCAGATAGATAGTCCGGATCCTATCAAATGGTATCACTTGAATAATGCTTTCATACTCTCACGGTTTAACTGCCGTTTTCCGATATCCCACTACCACTTTGGCAAGAAACGCATAAAAACGGAGAAGTGCCGAGATGAAAATCTCGGTTAAACTCGATGTGCGTAGATAGTGAATAGATGAGCCCCTAATACTTCAGGGTACGACGTACTTCGCGTTAGTCCACACCGATCAAAGGTTTTTCTTTGAGAGCCTTGACCAAAGCCTTCAACTCAAAAGTCTGATCCACAAAGCAGTCACGGGGTAGATCCAACGGGGACGCGTGACCGAGGTACTCGTGTGGAAACCTCTAGAGACCTCCGGGTTTCGGTGTCGGTTCGCTGTTCGGGATTGGCCTTTGGGCTCATGTACCCAATGACAGGCGGTAGCTTTCTAATGAAGTGCGAACGGAAGCCCCAGGTTCCCCGATCCCACATCCACCTAGCTGGGCTTTTGACCTGTAAACTGCTAGAGTGACCTCTCCATGGGCGAGATTCGATAGTCAAAGGAAAGCAGGAGGTGCCCATGCAGCTAGTATGGTGAGACAGCTTTGTCTGGCCTTCATCCATTGACCTTTCAGGCAAGATTAGATCTGCGACTGTGAAAAGCCATCATGTATCGCTCACATAGTTATAAAGGCCTGCAAGCCATCACACTGTGTGAGTGTGCAGCTACGGTGGGGCGGCTACCACTATCTAAGGTGCACGCATTTCATCTAATGTCTGTAGTCAATTATTAGGCTATCACTTGGTGCTCAGTCACAAAGCTCAACGCAACCTTGATGACCAACTTATCAGGTCAGCGTTTGCGTACTTTCCTTTCCTACAACTGACTCCTTGGGGAGCAGAACACGACTTCATTAATGATCATGAAGTTGAGTCGGAGCTTTGGTACAAGATACATCCTTACCATTATTTGGCTCTTTTACCCCCGTAGAGCATCTCCAACCTGTGCACAGCTTATTGTTAACTGCAAAGAAGCGGTCTGTCATCTCTGAGGTGTCAGTCCTATCATTTACGCGTTTCTACCNGTTTCTACCCAACATTTTCATAATCTCATACCAAGTTATCATTTGGTAGCCCTTGATCTTCCAAATCCTATTGGCCGACTGTGCGCTGTACGTCTCAGCGTTTCACCACGTCAAGCCTGTAGAAACATAGCCCACCAAACGCAGATTGAAGCGGTCGTATGCTGGTTCTTAGCTTTTCCTGTCGCGGGTTCTGTATGGAACGAATAACATCAGAAAATATCCCCCTACACGGTTTAGTTTAGTGCGATTTTATTGCTACCACTTATGCCGACACGTTGTTCCACCTCATTCCATCGTTATCCTTGGTTCATATCCTCTTCAGACTGACGTAGTATGCGCTCTCTTACTAATGTTGTTGTGAATCCAGATCGAGCTGGCGATCATCGTTTGCATTACAGGATATTAGCACAACAAATGAAGTTTTCCAAATCATTCAACGAAAGCGACAGATTACTGTGATGCGATTTCTTGTCCAGTCGAATCAACTTACACAACATTTGAAATCTGGCTAAATTTAATCTGAATTCCGCATTGCAAATGTTTCGATGTATCAGAGAGAGACAGGTTCTGGGGTTTCATGTCCAAGTCCTCAGGAAGGATGAGGACCCACTCCGGTGGTAAAGTGGGTGCACTATTCATGAACACACACACACACAGACATCTGTCTATCGAGTTCCCACCGTACAGGCTCGATTCCTAATCTCACGTCTTCCATTGTTCACTGATAGCCTATCACGAACAGTCGTTTGCCACCTTCCAATCTCACACAGAATGTCCCCAAGCCAAAATCGGTTGATACCATACCATTTTCGTTGTCCGGATGAATGATCCGTAGCGAGTCACATGTTTTTGGTTACCCCGTTGAAAGAAAAATAGTTTAGTTCCGTGAAATAAGTAAGTTTTAGGTGTGTGTGTGTGTGTGTATGTGTACGCGCGCGCGCTCGTCATAAAAGAGCCTCGGTTGATCACCTACTTTTGGGTAATACACTCGTTACAAGCCTGTGACACGCGTTCATTTCCGATAAGTTATATCACACCTGCTGTTTAAAACTCGGGCCATATCTCTATTTGAAATCAACTTTTCAACAGCTTTATATTTCTTCATCCCCGCATATTTTGGATTTGTTCTTCCTTGTATAGGTACTACTCGCCTTCCAAGGGCAGATGAGGTGGATGGTGTGCACTATCGTTTCATGAGTGTTCCACAGTTCCTTGCCCTGGAACGCAGTGGACAGCTCCTTGAGAGCGGAATGTACAAAGGTAAGTGGCGCTTGTTTTCACGGTGACCTTGATGAATTTTTATTCATTATCTGTTTGTATACACCACCCCAAGTTTTTTTATCTCCGTACTCTGTGGAGTATGAACGCTCAGTCTGGGTATTGGTTGGAGTTGATAAAGGTTCTGGAAAGCGAATAAGGTCCGGTAGAAACGATGTGAATCGGTTATCATACCGATTTTCACTAACATGAAATTCGTTTGATCAACATCGCCGTTAATCTCTTCGGTGGTATGTTACTCCGCCTGCGATCGGCATACGCATGACAAACAGACTGATTCTAGGTCGGGTAGAGAATAGATCATCCACTCTTTAATTCTTCATCGACTTGTTGAACATCGATATTCCTCCGATCAACGTACCAACTCTATTTTCGGTGATCTAAAGTTGGTCATTTACTTTGTCGGCTCACTTTCCACCGGCGCTTTCTCTGTTTTCAGGGTGTTCCACTAAAGTTTAATTCTCTGGTGTCTGCAACCAACGATAGTGACAGAAAGGAACTTGTGTCGGTTTTTCTTACCCCCCCCCCTCCACTCCACTCCACCTGCGTGTGAGAGAACGAGTTCGGATAACAGTATTAAATCCTCAGCCCCGAGATAACCGTGTCTGATAGGGGAACAGTTGATTCTCGCAGCTGGGGATTTCACTGGGTCTACTGTTCATCACAATGAGAGTTGCATTAAAAAAGAATCCTTCCACTTGTTCGGTCCGAATTGCATCTCCCGTAAACCGTACCGGTGGTTGATCGGACGAAGTGAGAATTGTGCTTGAAAACCATCCCTGAGGTGGTGATTCACTTGAAGTCCACATGCAAAAGTGCACGAGCTCTTATATGTACGCCGTTCGGTCATGTCATATGTTTATCTTACATTGTATGAAAGGTGTACAAACGTGTCGTTCTCGTTGCCAGTTGCTACTTGAAGTGAAGCAGTTGACTGTGGCTATTACTTATCCGATGTCGTTGCGTGAACATTATCGTGTCATTTGAGAGGACCAGTCGGACTGAGTCCTTCTGAATCTGGTCTCCAATCAAGTCCAGAAATACGTTCCCTTGTCTTCGTTATCTTGCCCCTTTCGGTTTGTATGATCTATTTGTCCGGAGATCATTGATAGCCATAAACGAACTGAACTTCTGTCCTCGGTTCGTTTCGTCGTGTTGGTAAACCAACTGGATAAATTCGCACTAATTTTCCAGACTCGAACCGGGTGCTATCAATGGTTTGATGTTAAATTGTCGCTTTCATTTAACGTCTTTCCCCATTTCGTATATGTTGTTTCGTGTGCATATTTTCAATACTGATTTCCTGTTTTCCGTTCCGCCTGATTCACCTATGTTTTTCGCAATTTATTCTTCTGTCCAAGATTTGCACACCACTGTCTTTTCCCAGAGGGGGATTTATCTTCGTTCTATGGTTGAAGTGTTGTGCTATTGTCCAGACTGGGTTTTGTGTGTCCTCGAGCCGAACAAGACTATACATATGGGGTCATCAGTGAGAGAGAGAGAGTTTGGTGATTAAGGCACGCTTCGCGGGACACTGGCGAAAATTGGTCATCCACATGCAAGTACCGCTTGTCAACCAGGTATTTGCAATTGCAATCGTGATGGCCGGGCTTACCCACGCAGTTTTTTCAGTTGGTGTAGGGTTGTTGGAGGGATGTGAACTACTAAAGGCTGTGGTATTTTTCCGGAAATCAAGATGACCAAATCATCCAGTGTATATCTGATTGAGAGGGTAAATGACAAAGGAAAATAAACGAAGATTACGAGAAACATGAATTATTTTGGGATTCTATATATAAGGGTTTTTGGGGAACGAAAAATGCTCTATAGTACTAAATTGTTGACCTCTTTTAGTGTGTGTGTGTGTTTGTGCGTGCAGTTAGTTATCCAAACTGACCCGGTAACTGAATCACTTATCTCATACGTTTGGGCAACTACTTTCGTCTGAATCAGGCATGTTCAACCCTTCAAACTTTAACATTCTTCGAAAGTGTTTGTAACATGGTCGCGATTATCCTCGTATTCGTCCTTGCCGCTCACAACTCCGTCCTTCTTCTCAGTCCACCCACTGGTCAATCAGTACTACAAAGGGTTTTAGTTTCCCA